CAAAGAATTTCCTCACGTGAAAATTCGACAAATCCTCATCTGGCGTCCTTTCCCCAAACTTCTTCAGTACAATGCAAAATGCATTTGATTCTGCGGCCAGGAGTTTAGTTGTTTTAAGGGCTCTGTGGCGATGCGACAAGCCATCCCTCGCTTCACCCACCAGCCTCTCAAACCATCACTAAAACGACCGTCTTGTCGACTCACCTGTTCACAAGCTTGCCATCCAGTTGGTGGCTGAACAAGCAAAATTCTATAGTTGACATCTCCGTTGGGGCTAGTTTTTAAGCCACAAGGTATACTATTTTTGACTGGTTTCCCAACGGGCAATCAAGTAACGAGGCTTAATTTTTTGATTAAATTTATCTTTTCAATCACCTCAACATTCGTTTTTACATTTACGCAGCATGTCATCGGCATCCTATCGGGTTTCGGCCCCTGGACGCGTGGGTTTAGATGCAAACACATTACTTAATAAATCACACGAACCTAGCTTAAATTTTTCACGCAAAGAGCACAACTTTGAAGACAAAATAAGCCAATTTCAATTCACCTAATCTGATTGGGAAATTGTATCGATAGGTTACCAAGTATTTTAAATTAAACTTACTTACACCCAAATTAATAGTAATAGTTGAGCATTTCGCTTGGCACAGCAGACCAAAAATTGTTTACCTTTTAACTCATGCGTCTACAATTATAATTCCGCTGGTTTGGAAGGGTTGAAGAATATAGATCAAAAGCGGACTGCCTCTATTGGATTCATTACAAAGTCAAATTTAATGAAAAAATCAAGCCTTCTTTTCAATTCATCATGGATAGATTAGCTGTCAATCAAATAAAATATCTGTCTCAACTGGTTATCTCGAACACCATAATCTTCTAAACAGAATATTGCTACAAACTATGTTGTAATTATGTTTTTCACCATTGGTTCAGACGTCTTGAGTGCAAATATCTCCCGGGATAAGTGTACAAAAGTGGAATCCCTGTTTGATGAAGACTCATTTGAAGGCTACTAGATATAACATTGTCAGCCACCTGCTAAAGTACTTGTAGGTAGAAGGTAGATACAAATGGAGAATGACTTTATGGCATTAATACAGGAATTTCTTGTCACAAGGGTCGAAGATCGCTTTTTTACAATTAAATAGGTGTTAAACCCGAGGGAGTGAAGAAAAGTAATTTGATACAGCATATGGCCATACACAGCAGTCTGGGCTGATTTTATGTCTACTCGTAGCGAAGCTCAGATAGAATAGATATCGTACCAACCGATATGTTTTAATAAAGTTGGAGCTTTTGATATATATATTTTGCCAAGGAAGGCTATCTAGTAGATCAGCCCTACAGACTTTGGAGTGAAGGTGACGTTGGGACAAAGCAGTCTGCTACTAGTGAGCTAATATAAAGCACCGATTATAAAACTGTGTTTTAAGGGAAAACTTTTGAACATTTAGCTGACGATATAGGAATAATGGCTTGCACTCTGACAAATAAAGTTGCCGACAGCTAATTTGCTTTCATGCAAGATCGCTTTAGCCCTTAAGGTCTTAGTAGTTGAGTTGCGGCTCACTGAACTGGGTGGACCTCTCGAGTTTGGGCTGAATTGACTCACATCTTGAGTGAAAGTGAGCTGAACAGCTTGCTAGGTCGATCTCACAACAAAATGACCGCAGATTCTACTTTGCATGATGCTCATGGGACTTCAGGGAGGCTATACTTCGGTTTCAGTAAAAATAAGCTTAACTTCTATTATTAATACTTTACTCATCCTAAGTCGCTCAGGGTGATTTAAGGACTGTTAGTGGAGTTTGTTCCATAATTTTATGAGTAGGCTTTACGATGTCATTAAATTTCACTTTTTCATATTTTCAAAAGGTTTTATCATTCAGGGTTGATCGTAATTTCACCAGCTCTCATCAGCGCCTTAAGCGTTATTTGGACTCACCTTTAACCTCTTGGCAACATTTCGACTCTCCGCTGTACAACCACGATTGCCAATTAGCCATAGTGCAGATGTGACTCTTGAGGCGAGTCAGGCATCTCCCGAATCACATTTATTGTTAGAATGTCGATAAGGCAAGCATATAATTTCCATTAAATTCGACGAAGTTACTTATTTTTAATAAGATATATTCAATGATTCCATTGATTTTCACATACCCCTGCTTTCTCAAAAGATATTATCATCATCTCATATGATCTACTGGTAGTCTCGACTGCCTGCTTATAATTAAAAACATGAAGGCGTGTTTTTGGCGAATTATCGTTAACGATGGTGTCCTGCTCTGACGATGTCAGGCGCATGACGGACGAAAGCTCAGCAAGGATTAATCGGGGTCGCATGGCGATGCGCCGAGGGCCTATTCGTACAAATCCACAATCACAGCTCCAAGGCAATCCTCCTACAGCCTCGGGTGGAAACAACTTACGAATACTTTCCACTTGCTTCTTCAAGCGCAATGAAAGGTACTCAAACATTGATAAATTAGAGTATTTTCAGCTGAAATGAATCGACAAAAAGGCTCGGGCTTACATTGAAATGCATAAGGTAACCCATCCCCATTCAAGTTATAAGGTAGTCTTAATCCTAGGGCCTTATTGGCTTCTCCAGCTGTACCCGAACCGTGGAAGTATTGAGTATAATGTCAAGCACATTCTTGCCTATCAAAACAAGATCAATAAGGCAAGAGTTTAGTCGAGAGAGGTCTGTGCTGTCTTAAAAATCATGCTTGTAGCGTTGTGCAAGAGGGCCTGGTTCGTGGGGCTAATATGCTTATATCTGATTTCGCACATTCAAGAGCTGCTGATACCATCAAGTCAAGTTTGAAACTACAATCCAGCTTGGAAGAGAAGAGACTTTAGGTGTGAATGAAGAAGTGATTTTCAATGCAAAAGTAATGATATACAAGAATTCTACAATGGCGTAATAACACTGTAATTATAAATAATCCTCCTGTATAATAATAAAGCAGACTCTGATCAACATTACCTGCACAAGGATGAAGTGTGGGGGGGAGAACGACAGTTGGATTGGGAAGGTTTCATATCGCTCAAAGGAGCACACTACACAATATGTAAATAAACACGGTAAAAATTGTAATAGTGAAGGCATGATAGGATGCTACCGGAAATGCGAGTAACCCAGGGCAGAAGGAGAGATACCACAATTGTTTAGCACAAGTCTGGTCAAAGGATCGGCTTCACTTGTCTCTTTGACGAGTTATTGTATGGTGCTAAGAATGGCGATACTCACTGCCGATGCCAACCACGATGCCGGCGAAACGTTTGGGAATGTACCACGTCCACGGTTAAACTTTGGAAAATATCATGCAGACAATGGACTCCTCTGATACTTCCTACAAATATAACCAAGTTGCGAAAACAAGGTAAAACAACTTCTATAAAACGAAAGGAGACTGCGATCACATAAAAGGCCACACCATCTTGGTCTTCATACCTTCCATGTAAAGTAAAGTTGAAGAAGCCAACCAAATTATGGGATGACTCATTAAAATCGGGATGTCTAGATGTATAAAACAAGCGATTAGGGTTGCAGCTGGCCACCTTTTCTCTTCGTTTAATATATTTAGGCTCTATTTCGTAAAGTATGGATTCTTGCTCTGATGATGTATGTCACAGTACAGAAAAAAGCTTAGCACGTTTCATC